TGGGTGTGCCGGCATTCATGTGTGCATGTGTGTTGTGCGGGAGACCACCGTATAACCAAGGCCCCACCCTGCCTTGGGGACCCATTGTGGCCCCCCCCGGCCCCCCCCAACCCCCCAGGTCCCTCAGGAATTAGCTTGCAGACAGCTCCACCTGGGTGGGGGAGGAGCTGGGTGCCAAGCCACGGGGGTTCTCAGGCTTGGCTGCTGTCCCGCGGCTTCCCAGCCACCAGCAGCCCAGCATAACCCTGGGTGAGGACCAAGGGTGTCCAGTCCCCAGACAGCCTTCAAGGGGTGCACCAGGCAGAAGAGAAGGAACCCCCACCCCTCCAGGTTGCACAGAACGAACACTGGCCCACTCGAGGGCCCTGACCCCAGGAGCCAGGCCCCAGCAGGCAGGCAGCTTCAGAGGGTGCCACCTCCGGGTCAGGAGGGCGGGGGAGCGGCGGGCCCCCAACTAGGAACTCAGTTTGCTGGGAAGAGCAGGCGGCCGCCCAGAGACCCAGCACCACACCGAGGCCAGGACAGGCCGCACGAACGCTCTCCGTCCCCCTGGCTCAAGGCCATCTCCGGGAAGCCTCCACGAGGTCCTGAAAACCACGTCCAGGGGCGGCAGGTGCCCAGTGGGCAGAGCCGTCAGCACCCTCAGAGGGGCAGAGCAGGGCCCCGACAGGCTGGAGCAGGACCTGGGGCCGGCGGGAACCATGGAGACGGTCAGAGGGGAGGAGGTCAGGCCCTGAGCAGCCACCTGCTCACCCACTCCACCCACAGGGGTGAGGGACATGAGAACACAGGACACAGACACAGAAACATTGGGTCACAGGGTTCTGGGGACACAGAGACATGGGATCACAGGGGGACAGACAGAAACGTGGGGTCGCGGGGACACACAACGAACGGCGCAGCCAGAGCCGGCGGAGGGGGAGAGGCCGTGAGCGCGTGTGCGCACACCCAGGCCCGGCCCGCGTGTGCGCACCCCTCCCTGACCGGCCGGGCCAGTGTCACGGACCTGCTTTCTGCTCCATTTCACGCACGTTCAGCTGCCGAGCTAGACAATCGCTCTGTAACTCTAGGGTGCAATTTCCCTGTCTGGGAGGCGCTGGGGCACAACTGCTCGGAACAGCTCGCACCAGGCTCGGCGGGTGTGCAGGCGAGTCCCTGGTCCCACCTGCCCCTCGGGCCTCAGGGAGAGTCATGCAGGGGACCCGGCAGAGGACACGGGGGAGCCCTCTTTCCCCACGTCTGCTTCGAACACTCGACAGCACGGCCATCACCCCTGCGTGGGGCTCCAGTTTGGGTCCAACTCTCAGACCGGGCCGGCCCTGCCCCTGGCAGGAGCTGAGGTGGACACGCCCGTGACAAACCCCGCGGCCTTCCCAGCACCCCGGGAGAGCCCAGACACGCGTCCATTTTACAGACAGACGGCGGGGGCTCTAAGGCGCATGGGCAGGCCACACACACAGGCAGCAAAGACAGAGGCCCAGACCCCAGCGGCCTGACCAGCAACAGCTCACAGCCCCCCAGGAAGGTCTATCTGCTGGGGGCCCCAGGGGTGGCCATGTCCTCCCCGAGAGAGCAGGAGGGAAAGGGGCAGAGGGGGATCCAGGGCTGGAACGACACCCCTTACAGCATACAAGCAGCACGCAGGAAGGCGAGGGGCACGACCCCCCTGCCCCAGCACCCCTGAAATCAACCTGCTTCACGAACATCGGGCAAACGTCTGGAAGGTGATCGCCAAATGGATGCCAGCCCCGCCACCCACAGCCCAGACAGCCAGGCCTTTGAGGACCCAAACCCCTGCCCCATCCCTGGCCCCACCAATGGCCAGTTCCCATGGAAATAGACCAGTTAATGGGCCACCTCAAGGCCCCGCCACAAGAGGCAGCTCTGAACAGCCAGCTCAGCCGGCGGAGGGGAAGGAGGGCAGGTCTCGGCTTGTGAGGCCCCAGCCGGAGCCAGCTCAGTGGTCTCTGTCCTCCGAGCCGCCGCGCGGGCCGCAGCTGGAAGGAGCCCTCTCCTAACACACGGCCTTGCTGGCCACGCAGGCCACGGCCCTGAAACATGCACTGTGGAAAGAGCCCGCACGACACCAGGACGTGAGACCCCGCTGGCGGCCGAGGCGCCCCCGCCCCCGCCCCCACGCCCCCTTCTGTGTGCTCCAGTCTGTCCACCTGGCTCACCTCGGGGCCCCCCTCCTGGTGCCAGAGCCCAGGCACGCACATGGCCTCAACCGGGCTGGGGCCCACCCGAGCACCCATCCTGTGCCCGCACCGTGACTCCTCAACTCTGTGCCCCCAGGCCCTTTCTCGGAGAGGAAATGAAGACCACCAACTGAAACTGCCCCCAGAGCCAGGGGGGTGGGGTGGGTGCAGAGGCAGAGCAGGCAGGGCCTCCTGGAGGAGGTACAGCTCCCTGCAGGCCCTGAAGGACAGGCACAGCTGGACGAGCTGGTGGAGCCGCCTAACCTGGCTCAGGGCCCCAGCCCTCTCCCAGGCCCGTCCTGGGGGCCCCCCGCTCGTCCCACCCATGTCTGGGCAGAGGGGGGCAGAGCTGCCTGCTGGGCCCGGGCATGACAGCCAGCCCCGAGCAGGACGCAGGCCAGCAAAGCCATGGCCACAACCAGGCCACATCTGAGGGCTGTTTTTCTCGCCCTGACACTTCCCCGTCAACAGAGCCCCCTCTGGAGTTTACCAAAACAAACGCCCCAAAGTCGGCAGTGCCCAGGCAAGACAGAGCTGCCCGGGCAGGCGGACTCCAGCCCGGCCTCCTGAGAGTCATGTGACCCTGTTATTTCGGGAGGCCCCAGAACGCACTCTATTTTGGGTCCCAAAGGCTCTAACGTTACCAGAAGCCCCTTACCAGGGCTCCAAGCTCACGCAGGTCCCAGGAAGCCCTCAGAGGGTGGCGGTGGGTTCTTTACTCTGCTCCTGCCTCCCCCCCCCCGTCCCCCCCGAAGGGTGAGGGGCGCTGGCCAGCCTAGGCAGCAGGGCAGAAAGCAGCAGGGCCTCGGGCAAGTCACTTGGCCTCCATGTCTGTACTTTGGGCTCATCCCAGCCCTCACCAGGTGGCTCGGCAGGCAGCAGCTGGGAGGCTATGGGCGGCTGAAGGCGCGTGCCTGGCCCACCAAGCCCCATGGCGCTGGGAGGAGGAAGCCCTCTCTGCCCGAGGCCCTGAAAGTGGCCAGACAGCTACGAGGGACGAGGGACGAGGGACGAGGGACCGTAGGACCTTCCCAGCAGTTCCAGCACAAGCCAGGCCTCTGACACTCGCCCCCAGGAGGGATTAGGCTGTGTTGACAAAAGGGCTTAGGCAAGTAGCCACTTAAATGGACCTTCAACTCCACTGGACTTCAGTGCTGGTCACAAGCTTAGAAAAAAATAAAATGTAATCAGAGCCCAGGTCTCTCGGCTCAGGTCTGAGGTGTGTGGGCTGTCTGGGAGGCCACCGGCAGAAGTGGGGAGAAGCCTCCAGCTTCCTTGGGGTGGAGGGGGGCATCCATCCAGGTTCCTGGGGCAGTGGCTCATAGTCCTCTTCATGGGGACTCTGGCACAGTCACCCTGCAACCTGGGCCCCACATGTGCCAACTCCCAGGACGTCAGGGACAGGGACCTGTCCTGCTCCCAGTACCCAGCAGGGCCCTGCCACGTGGGGGGTGGGAAGACATGATGGAGCTGAGCATTCTTGCTCTGGAAAGGATCCTCTGGGAGAGCCAGCTCTGTGCGTGTGTGTGCGCGTGTGCGTGTGTGCGTGTGCATGGGAAACAGAGATGTCAGCCATGCAGGAGCCCGCTAGCCCCACACTAGGCCAGACAGTAAGTCACAAAGAAGTCAGCGTTCCTCCCGGCTCCGCCGGCTGGGGGTCTGGGTCCCACAGCCACCACTTCGTAGCCTGTGGCCTCAGACTTTCCCAGCCTGTTTTCTCATCTGTAAAATGGGCACGAGTGCCCACCCCTGGGCCTTCGGGGAAGACCAGGCGCCACCGACGTCCTCACCATCCAGAGTGACAAACTTGGAATCCCAGCGGTCACCCTGCGAGTGCCCAGTGCCCCACACCCGGGGGGCCAGCTCCCAATCTCACCAAGGCCCCCTGCGGCCGGCCCCACGGGAGTGGCCCAACCGCACCCCAGGCTGCAGAGGGGTGGGCAGACAGGAGGGGGGCTGGCCGCGGGGTTTCATTCAGAATCAGCTGTTTTAATTTCCATTCAGGACAAATCCTTCACGCAGCCTGGCAGCCTGGCTGCTGTCCCCGCCACCAAATTAATATCCTTCCCGGCACTCATTTATAAAGTCTCCCCGCCGCCGCCTTCCCTGCCTGTCGCTGGCTCCCCAACCCTGGGGAGGGCAACAGCTGGGGCGCCTGGCCATGCCCCCTCCGGCTCCCGGGGGGCCCCCGCCTGGAGTTGGGAGGCAGTCTGCGGCCAGGCAGCCGCCGAGCAGGACGGCAGTGGGGGGACAGGGAAACGGACCCCGCGTGCCTCTGGGCGCCCCCCCCCCCGCCCCGCGCAGGGCCAGCGCCGGCGAAGGCCCCGGAGAACACCCCGAGTGCGCCAGAGCGAGGGGCCCCGATTCCGGGACGGGCACTCCCGGGGCGACGTCCCCGGCCACTCGGCCCCGCGGTGACCCTGCCGCGCGCCGGGGCCGCTGGGCCGGAGGGTCCCGTGCGCCCGGCCTGCTGGACCCGCGGCCCGGGCGGCGGCGCGGAAGCCGTCCCGAGGGCAGGGCGCCGGGGCTGCGAGCGCACAAGTTGCTCCGCCCGCCCGGCCCGGCGCCGGGGCCGCGGGGCGCTGCCAGGCCGGGGGGCGCGCACCCCGTCCCGGTCGGCCCGCCGCCCCTCCGGCCCCGCGCCCGGCGCCCGCCCGCCCCGCGCTGGCCCGGGGCGCCCGCCGCCCTCGCGCCCTCCGCGCCCGGCGCGCGGGTAAAAGTTGCCCGGCCCCCCGCCCCGGGCCCGGCGCCCCAACTCCGCGGAGGCCGGGCGCCCGCCGCCGCCGGCCCGCGAGCACTCACCGAGCGGCAGGAAATGTTTGGTGTCCATGTCGGCGGCGGCGGCGGCCCCGGCGGGCAGCGGCGAGCGCGGCGGCCCCCGGCGCGGCCGGCCGGGCCCGGGCGGCGGGAGCCGGCGGCGGCGGGGCGGCGGCGGCGCGCGGAGGCCGCGGCGCGGCGAGTTGTTGCAAAAGTCGCCCAACAATGTAAACTACTTGTGCTGCGCGCCGCCGCCGCGCGCCCGCGCCCGCGCCCCCGCCGCGCGCGCCCGCGCGCCGCTCCGACCGCGGCGGCGCCGGCGGGGGGGCGGCGGGGGGCCCGCGACGGGCGCGAACTCGGCGCAGCGCCGCCGCCCCGCCCGGCGCCCCCGCCCCGCCCGCCGCGCGCGCGCCCGCCGCCCCCGCGCGCGCGCCCGCGGCCCTGCGCTGCCCGCGCGGCCGCCGAGTTGCCGGCGAGCCAGCGCTGTGCAAACTTGCAAGTTTGCCTCCGCCAGGGGTTCCCGGGCGCCGCGCGGGGGCGGGGCGGGCAGGGAGCAGAATTCCCTCCCGGCCTCCAAAAACAAAAAAAAAAAATGCCACTAGGGCGGGGGAGGAGAGGGGTGAGCCCGGCGCGGCGGGCCATTGTCTGCGCGGCCACACAAAGCTGCGGGCCGCGCCGGCCCCGCACCGCCCGCCGGCGCCGCGGGGAAACTGAGGCCCGCGGGGCGGAGCCCCGGCGCGGAGCCCAGGCTCGGCCCTCCGCGGGGGCGGGGGGCTGTTTGTTCTCTGTCCCCCGCTCAGACCGCCCCTCACTTTCACGCCTCCGAGGAAGCGAAGGCCGAAGAGCACCCCCGTCCCCACGGCGGACCCTCCGACTTCCGCAGCACGTGGGCCCGGACTCGGGGGACCCCTCTGAGCAGGCAGCGGGGCCGGGCAGGGCTGCTGGGAGCTGAGCCCTGACTTTGTGGCTGCGGCTGTTTTCAGGCCTTGGGCAGCTCTCTGGTCCGACTTTCAAATTCGGGGTGTGTCTGTGTGAAAACGGAAGGACGCCCCCGGCCCGGGACCGCCCGACGGGGACCTGGGGTGGGTGTGAGTTACCCGCGTGGGGCCCAGCCTCGGGCGAGCGCAGCCCGAAGCACCTCCGTGCGCCCCCTCCGCGCCCAGGAGCTCGCTGCCCTCTCCGCCTACCCTCCCCGGGGTGACCCAGGCTCGGGGGCACAGGAACCTACCTAGGGCGCACAGGCTGCCCGTGGCGGCCCTGCGGCCAGCGGGGCGCCGCTGGAGCGCGAGGTGGTGACTAAGCATGGATGGCCCTCCTGGCTGCCCGGAGACAACCTCGGCCTCTGACGGCAGAGTCCTGCTGCCTGGCGCACACTGCCCCCTGTGTGACCATGAGTAAGGCTCCCAACAACCTGGGCTTCGCTTTCCCCTCTGTGAAATGGGGTGGTAACAGGGCCCACCCCCACAGGACAGCCAGGCTGGATCCCACGAGGGTCCTTAGGACCTGTCCAGGAGAAAAGCGCTCGTTCCCGTGGGGTAGGAGCACCCTGGGGGTCTGGGAGGGGAAGCACCGGCTGGGGAGCCCTCCCCCGGCCCAACCACACGCCATGGCCCGGGCTTGTCCTGTCCTGGTTTCTGCCTGAGCCACACTCCCCTCCCCCGCTCCAGAAAGCCTCCTCCGTGCTGGGCCCTCTACCCACCTGCCCCCCCCACACACACACGCACACACAAACCTTGTCCTGCCCTCCCTACAGCCCCAGCCACCCACCTCTAAATCTGATTTCCTCCTGCCTGGAAAGGTCTGACAAGGAGCAAACCCAGGCGCACTGCCACATATGGGGTGCGTGCTGTGTGCCAGGCCCGTCGCCATCACCCCTGGCATGCCCTTGGCCATGGCACACAAAACGTGGCCCATTTGGGCCCCAGGCTCCAGGCTCTTCCTCCTGGCCCGTGTCAGACTGCTCCACTCCCACTAGAGAAGAAAAGGCCATGAGCCCTTTCCCTTTGGGTACAAGTGGGCAGGAGGAGACGTCCCCCAGGACAATGGTGCCCAGACCCTTGCTTGTCACCCCAACAACTGATGGGCAGTGGGCACTACTCACCCCCCTGACTGGGGAGGACAGTGAGGCTGGGAAGGGTGATGTGACGGCACGTCACACAGCAGTGAGCATGAAGCCAGCGTTTGATGGCACAGCTCAGCCTGTCTGCCATCTCCTGTGTGGACGGTCCATTCATGCTCCAGGGCACTGGGTCTCAGGACACACGAGTGTGGGGGACAGGGAAACACGAATGAGCCCTGTTTTCTAATGTTCACGGATCATTCATTCATTCAACAAACCTCTCCTGAGCCCTTACCAAGGGCCGGACCTTGTGCTGGGGCTGGGTACTCAGGTGGAGGTGTGGTCCCAGATGGACAGGTGTGGGCTGGACCCCAGCTCTGCTGCTCAGCAGCCAGGTGGCCTGGCCAGGTCACTTTCCTTTCTGTGCCTCAGTTTCCTTGTCTGTGAAGTGGGGAGAGCCACACCTTCCTCACTGAGTCACTGGGATGACTAACAGAGATAACACGGGGAGAGTCTGGCAGGAGTAGGAGTTCAGTAAGCGCTAGTTACTTGTACTGTTATTACTCTTATTAGGAGATGATGGATTAGGCCCTCCGGGAGCCCCCGCCCAGAAGGTAGGGGAGACACGCCCACAGTAGCTTTAGTCGAGATGGAACATGATGGGCAGACAGGAAGCCTGAGGGACAGAGGGGAGAGCGAGGCCGGGTCCAGACGGGGGCCCAGCCGCTTCCGGGCATGGCTGGCTCCTGAGTTGGGTTTGGAAGGTGGGAGTTTTTCGGCAGGCAGAGGGACAGGCATGAGCAGGGGCCTGGAGGTGGGAGGCACCCAGCACGGCGAGGGAACCGGCAGCCAGCCCGCTGGGTGAGCAGGTCCAAACACGCCGGGCATTTGTGGGAAAGCTCGTCGTCCTAGAGGCCTGCAAGGCCGGGCTCAGCATCTGTAGTCACCTCCAACAGCGGGCAGCCTGGCTTCCCCACCCCTCCTCCAGCTGCACCCTCGCCACGGAAAACTCGAGACTGTTTGGAGCTGTTGGCGCCTGGAAACAGGGAGCCACGCACGTACAGGCAAATTTCCACTTGGGCTCCCAGCCCAGGGAAGGCACAAGGGCTCAGGGTTGTCAAGGGTGCGAGAGGGGCCCTCTGTTCCCTTAGGAGTCTCTCTTAAGAGACCTAAGAAGGCGTCACCCAGCCCAGGCCTCTCTCCTAGACACCACGTGGACAGTGGCGCGAGCACGGGGCCCAGCGGCTGTGCAGACCTGGCTGGGATCCAGCCTGGGCGCTGCGGATGCTCCAGCTCTCCGCCCGGCCCCTCTCACCTGCGGGGGCGCGGGGCGCAGGGCGCAGAGCAGCCGGCAGACTGGGAGTCGGGGAGGGAGGGGCCCTCACACACAGGGGCCCCTGGCTGGAAAATGCGTGAACATGATTTCTATTTTCACTCTCCCCTCACGCGGGGGCCCTTCGGTGCAAATGATCCCACACGACACCGTCCGAGACCGTGGCTGCCCCGTTTGGAGTGGCCAGACCCACGCTCACCATGGAAAAAACCGCCCCAGCCTCCCTGCCATGCGTTTCTGCAGCCAAAAATATTTTTGTAGTAATATCCATCTATTTACAACCTGGGATCTGAGAGCGTTTTGTTTTTTGTTTGGGGCTTTCTTAATCCCCCTGAAGGACGCTTTTTAAGGTACTTGGGTCTATTCCGTGCGCCTGTCTCGGCTTAGCCTTGTAAACAGTCTCCGGAATTGCTGGTGAATAATATTTTTTAAAGTCGGGTGTCTGCCAGGCTGGGGCTCCTGAGGCTGGCATCTGGGCAGGCGGCTCCCAGCAGCCGCTGCAACATCAAGAGGCACCTGGGCAGCGACCGGCTCCTTCCCCCAAAGGAGGGTCCATGTGACCCCCAGCTGGTGACCCGCAGACCTCATAGGGGTTTGGGGTTCTCATCCCCAACAAGCATGGCAGAGGCTTAGAAACTTACAGGCTGTCTTCGGGGGCAAGCGTCCTGTCTGTGTCCCCAAGCCTTCCTAGCCCAGAGGGTCCTTTCTTACGGCCTCTATGGCTCCTTTGGGGTGACACTTTGTGCCTCTAGTGATAGATGACTCAATCTGGGGACGAAGCCCAGAGGGGCAAGGACTCGGCCACAGTCACATGGCAAAGCGAGATGGACCAACCAGAGTCGTGTCCTGTCTCCGCCAGCCTGGTCCCCACCGGCCTCCAGGCTGTCCTGCTTCGTGGAGAGAAGGCAAAAGGACCAGGAAGGCAGGGCGGAGAGGAGGGGGAGAGGAGAGGAAAGGGAGGCAGGAGGGGGGGGCGAGGTCAGGGGCCGTGTGCATCGGTGCCGAGGCAGGCAGCTGACCGCTCTCCTGAGGTGGGAACCGGACTCCAGGGAGCTGGGTGGCGAGTTGGGAGGACCCGGGCTAGGGACCAGGCCTAAGGGGCTGGGGCTGGTGCCCAGGCGAGAGCTGGTGCGTTCCCTCCAGAGTGCTCCCGCCAAACCCTAAGGCCACCAGAAGAAGTCACGGGTGGGGGACGGGCGGGCGGGCAGGCTGGGAGGCTAGAGAGTCCATGTCTGGGGAGGGGAAAGCCGGTGTCCTCTGGAGGCCTCGGTGCCAGGTCTGCGGCACTCTGCCCGGCACCGGCTCCTCTAGCATCACCCCAGCTTGGTAGACTCCTGTTTCCCGTTCCACAGATGGAGACCCCGGGGCCGGGAGGAGCAGGGACTGGCCCCCAGGCAGGCAGCAGCCCGCGCACCTGGTCACCACCTGGAGGGTAATGGTCAGTCCCCCCAGGGAAGCCTGGGGATGACCCCCAGCCGTGGACTCCTGCCTCCAGTGACCACTGCACCCCCCTGACTCTCACGGTGAGGGTGCGGGCAGGAGGCGCCAGGTCAGACCAGAGTCCAGAGACAAGGTCTAGGCAGCCGGCGTGGAAAACCGGGTACCAGGAAGAATATGTTGCAGCCTGGCTCAGCCAGCAGCTCTCATGTGGCTCTCTCTGAACCTCAGTCTCTTCTTCTACAAGGCCGGCGAAAAGAGCCCGCTAATCGGGGGGCCATTTTGGCACGAAG